AAAACTCAATTTCTAAGGGCACTGAGCAGTGTTTGGCTTTCACACGAATGCGATAGTAAGTTATATGAAGTTGACAAAGCAAGCAAAGCAAAGCATGATGCCCCGCGCGTCCGCCCGCGACCACGCCCCGCGTCCGACTCCCGACCGCCGCGTGACCCGAGGCGCCCGGCGGTCACGTGACCTACCGGCCGGGACTGCAAACGGCCTTCACCACCATTCTTGTATGACGTCATATCCTACTGAGGTGCTGATTGGTCGGAATTAGATACCTGAAGGTAATTATCTGCCGTAGTTATTTTTGTTTCATTGTTTTGCGTGTTTTCTTATATGAAATGTAATTAAAAAATTTGTCATATTTTAATCACCATTAAAACATAACTGAATAGGTATAAAAGAGAACTCGATATATACTTTCCTTGTTTTTAAGAATTCCGGAATTAGATACCCGAGGGAGCAAAGAGGGAGCAAGTTGCCACGCTGATTTAATACCTCATAGTCGAAAGGTGGGCTACTAGAACCAAAAATTGCTGTGTTTGTAAATAAATAAGTGATTTGAGGGCAAAAAATGCCCAGATTTAAACTTCTAAAATTATTTTGAACATAAAATATTTCAGTTTGAGGGATGTTAAGGCCTCTAAGGGTAGGTACTTTTTAGGTATCAAATAAGTTCCTCTGCGAAAGTTCCGTCGTGAAAACGGCCAAAATGAAGATATTTGCTGTAAAAGAGATTAGGTGCAGATTTGGTCAAATTAGGTGCATTCGCCGGAAAGCCTGTCGTGAAAACGGCTAATATACCAGCACAGGCTGAGGTTATCATATCCTCACAAAATATGTTCTTAGAGCTGTTCTGACAGCGTTCACCGCCATCACAAGCTGTGGCACAGAACTTTATAAGTAAAGTTAACCGAACATTACGGAAAAAATATGAAAAGTGGTTAGCATGTTTCTGGTCTTGCTTTTTTTTTTTGCTTTACTGCGTGCCTTTTCTATATATAAATATCTTTCTCAGCAATATGATGACAGACACATGGCGTAAATGCCGGCATTCATATCCGCTGACAAAGGCACCTCACTTCCGATACAATATGGAAGTTAATAGTTTTTGTCATTGTTTGTGCCGCTGATGAACCTATTCTTCTAATTCCCAAGTTCTTGTGAGATTATAGTTTATCATAGAAAAAAATGACAAAAAAATAAAGATGACGCACTTCCAGCAGACGACTCATCTTTGTCTGCGAATGAGGTAAGAAGTCCCTCATTCTTGTCGTCGAGTATTTTGCCAAGTTATCTAAATTTCTAGAACAATAGTATCGGTCTCCTCTGGGCTTTACATTGGGTCAACTTACGCTTTTGTGCGTGTGTGGTTTTTGCACCCAATTCACCGTTCCGAAAGTACAGGATCCTTTGGTCATTACTAGCCTTACGCTGTGCGTATATGCGACAAAGAAACTAATGAATCCCCGTCAAACCTACATTCTCCTTACGCACTGAAAAAGCTGGCACTAGCGGGCAGCACAGCAGGATATAATCAAAGCAGCAACAACTGGGCTACGCATCTTATAGCACCTAGCTAGGAAGTTCTGAGAACCAAGCCTGCCAAAGCTCCCAGATTGGCATCTTAGGTCACCTCACCATATCTGACTGGTAGAGGTATACTCACAATCCTAGGTCGTACATAAGCATATGAGTATATGCACATTGCACATCTAACAATCTACACACTTAATGCAAGTTTATTATGGCATGATCCTGCGTTAAATTTATCATCATTAGGCTAATGATATTACGAGATGCTTTTTGTGATCTACTCGTGGTGATTGTATTTTTTCTGCTTAATTAGTTCCATTTCGTTGACGGTAATGAGGGCCATGTGTTGGGCGCAGTAAACCGGCGAAATTGAGTGACTTATCACGGTAATAAAGTCAGTGCGAAACTGTAGGTTAATAGCACCTGCCTTTGCTGCGCTCAACTGACAATGTGGGCGCATTACCAACACCTGTATAATCGCCATACGGGGGTGCGCCAAATCCCTGAAGGCATCAGTTACCGGTAAACAGGCGTCACATAAAAGTGCCTCTAAACTTGGGGGAGCGAATACATCAATAGCTGATTTTGAGCATAAATACTTACCTCATGGTGCTGTTTTAGGCAACGTGTTCATCATTCATCGCATGCGATGTGCAATAACATTTGTATAATGTTTGTTCTGCCATGCTTATCTGTCGCATTTGTAAAAGTATGTAGCAAAGAATACACATTACCTTTGCATGTCCAAATAGTGTCAACCATATATTGTTGCTATCCGTATACACATGTGACAGTATCGTTCCTGGATTGAATGTCTCCCACTGAATACTGAATACATAATTCTCTATCTTCACCTTTTGTCCGAAGTTACGAGCTTTTTCCTCGAATGAAAATATGCCTATACTGTACACAGTACACACATGCTTTTCACTGCAAGGTATCCGTTGCTTTCATGCTGATCCTCGACTCCATATGCTGGAATAGTAAACTCTGTAAGTAGATATTTCAGTGACATCTTCCAATTTCAGGTGAAGCTGTATGTCTTTCGACTATCTCCGCTGATGATTTGAAAGCAAGGTAAATGCATTTCTTGTTATATGGTAGACAGCTACATGATAACCGACGTAAATGTTTTTTTCTCCAGAAGAATCCCTGCAATCTTAAATGAATGACACCGCCATTCATATACAATTTGAACAAGTAGTCGTAAAAGCATTCGATTGAAGGATGTCTCGAGTCGCCGAAAGACTTTTGAATCGCATACATTATGTGCATGCCATCAATGAAATGAAGCATGTCTTCTGGCATAAATAGATGTTAGTTTTTATTAGAGCCAGACGCCGAGCATTTCTACCACACGAAGATGGACGGGGAAGACTGTTAGTAGCCGGAGCCATTTATTTATACTCGTATGTTATGTACCACTCAAAGACCTGTACGATTCTGTATAAGTCGAGAGAGGGATGAATGTCTTTTCAGACATATCGCTTATATAATGTTTTCAAAATAATTACTGACAAATGAAAGAGTCTGGTATGGTTCGTCTGGCTATATCAGCATTGATTGTGAGTGGTCCGGCTTTAGCTGGTAAAATAGACTTGATTTAGTCTCAAAGTTCGTTAGGTTACTGAAGATACCTGAGCAGAAGTGATAGAAATGCTGTATCAGTGCTAAGCGAGGTAACAAGGTGGGATTAAAACAATCGTTCTTAACTATTCCAAACCATTTAACTTATCTCTTAGCCGGTTGACTAACATAAGAGGCATGGTGTCACAACAGTTCTTCAAAAACCATGTCTTCGATATTTTATATAAGAATTGCTTAACCCGCGCACCGACGGGGGGGGGGCGGATATCCGCCCCCCCCCCCCTGAGGTTTTTCGCGAATAGCGGGAAAACCGCGTTGGTATGACTATAACCTCATCAATTTTACACATGGTGTGCAAGTTTGAACCTCCTACCTTTTAAGGTCAGGTCACCAGGTCACTTTGAATGACCCAACCTCAAGTCACTTTTTTGCAACTTTGTCACCGTGCCAGAGCTACAGTAGATGTCGGAGGCCTTTGAAAGTCGCAGGATATTATTAGGTCATTAGTAGCTACAACTTGTGTATCTCGGAATTTTGCTATCAGTGACCTAAGGTCAGGTCAATTTCGCGACCTCCCCATTATAAGTCAATGGGGGAAAAATCAACTCCCTGTTTTTACCACTAAAACGGGTCAGAATGGCCCCATATACCATACATGACTTCATATACGATCAACCTTCACTACCTTGAGGTCTGTTTTGCTGTTGGGCAGCTGTGAGGTCATGTGACGTCATCAAAGGTCACCAAAGGTTTTTGGCCAATAACTCCGTACAGGAACAAGATACAGACGCGTGGATGGTCTCATTGTGTTCAGCTCGTCAAGACGCATCGAATGATATACATGATGACCTCGAGGTCACGTGACCTGAGGTCAACCTTTGACCTTGACCTTTCGAGGTCAACATATATATCATTTGATGCGGATTGACGAGAGGATCACGATGATGCCCTTAGTTTGTTCCTATCTTGACTAATTCGAAAGTTATTCGAGAAAAACTCTCTCCATATCTAGCGCCGCCATTTTGACTTTTTCGACCCCTGTGACGTCATCTTTGACCTGACCTGAAAATGACCTTAGTAAAAATTGTAGATCTTGGCCGTGCGTATCCGATGCCGTTTACCGCTTGTCGCTATCTTGCTTCGTTCTCGAGATCTCAGGGGGGGGGGCGGTCATCCGCCCCCCCCCCCGTCGGTGCGAAGTTGGCGCAGACCCCCGTCGGTGCGCGAGTTAAGTACGAACATGTGCACCGAATTTTAGAGCCGGCTAATTGCGGCTGAGGAAATGCTGCCATTTCATCTATGATTACACAGACAAATGTGATTTCAATTTTGACCGCGTTGGGGTCCCTAGCTCCAACAAATTACACGCACACAGGAAGAATGATCAATTACCTCGCTTTTCACACTCAATTTTTGGTCAGTCAGCCACCATGGCCATTAAGAAAATATCCGTCACAGTCCTTCAGCGACTCACAGTCTCGCACTCGACAGGAGTCTGATGTACTCCACAGCCAGCTCAGTGATAGTCCACCTGACTGACGCAAATAAATGACTTTGAAGAAACGTTCCTTTATTGACATTTAATCAGATGGGCTTTCAAGGTCATAAAGAAATATAAAACATTTTTAGAGGTTCTCCTTTCCATCCTCCCCCCCCCCAAAAAAAAAAGAAATGGTGGCGCTGTGTCTTTTATTTCAGCATAGACGCCAGGAACGAGGAAGCATAAGTTGCTCCTTTTTGTTCAAGTATTACGAAGTATTCTTTGTAATTTTTATCTGTGTTTCGATCTTTCAGAAAAAGGTGTTTAATCCGCCGCTTTGAAGCAGAGTGTACTTAGATTGCAACGTTGTATGTATTATGCAGTGTAATGTTTAAAAACAGCTGAGTTTCACACACACGACACAAGCGGGGCAAGATTATCCAAAAATGAATCCTGTCTTGCTCATGGTACATTTACAATGCTCTACGCAACGATAATAACATCGAAAGGCCCTTGTGCCGAGCAAATGTGCGAATATGAGGGGCAAAGTTTATATAAAGCATCCTCAGGCATCCGCCACTGACATTTTGCGTAACCGAACCACCATACCGCTAGCAATATACGGCAGGCAAAGTTCATTTCTCCGGTATCACACCATCTGCATTGATACAGACTTTATATTTGACAATGCAGTACCTCCAATCATTACCGGAACATCGTACATATCAATAATAAACTTGAAAGTAAACGTTACAAATCTTTCAAGCACGACGGGCAGCAAAAGTTACAGTGAACATGTAGGTGAGATTTGCGTTATTCAAAAGTGTGTTTCTAACAGCCTTATTTTACCATTAAATCACAACACAGAATGCTGTTTTATAACGATACAAGTCATGTGTGAGTAAATGTACCGAGCGGCAATCCCAATGAACATAAAGAATAATAATATAAATAAGTCTCCGATATTTACACCGAACTCTTTGATTTTCTCGACGCCTGCTTTTCGGACTTGCCAACGCTACAAAGCTCATTTTCCAAATAAACAGCACAAAATTGCCTCAGACTTTCCCGAAAGCACGCTTGGTTGCTTCTCCTCCACAAGAGTCATGCTTTTCATCCCTCGGCCTTCCAGCTATACATATCACAATGCCTATATCACAAGCAGCGTTCTTGTGTCAGGTCGAATTAGCAGAACTCTCTCATAACTGAGATGGAACAGGGCCGTTCGCAGCATTCCTCCACGATTCCTCGCTTCCTCCGCTGCCCTCGCGAGGACAGACGACGCTGTATCTCGTATGCAGAGCGCAGCGAAGGCAGCAGGAAGTCACGTGACAATGTCGTGGCCGATTCCTCAGCTATAAGATCTGTGAGAAAAAAAAAATGACAGTTATAAGCTATAGTTCGTTTTTCTAAGTTCGACCCTCACTGTAATCGTCTCTTTGAACACAGCACGAGCATTGGTAGCTGAACTAGGTACTGAGAAAACTCGTTGGCGCACAATGATTTCGCAGACGATCAATTGTATCAAAATTATTTCTACCTGGCTCCTTTTCCCAGACTCGCAGCTCGGTATTTGCAACCCCACAAGGATCGAGGACTTGTCAGGTAGTATATCTGAACTAATTAACAAATCGCACGGCGTTTAACTAACATAACAGTATATCATCAGTGCTAGAAACTTATTTTGAAAATATTAGTTCACATCTCCAATACAAAGTGCGCTAGCCAGTTTTCTCAGTAATTCAGCTGGCAATTCTCGTGCTGTTTCCAAAAAGATGTTTACAGTAAGGGTCGAACTAAAAAAAAAAACGAGCTATAGGCAGTCACATTTACAACGGTGCAAAGGCTATCAGGCTAAGATTAGGCAGTCGGATTTTTATATCTGTCCAATCGCCTCAAGCGTTTTAGCGAAAAACTCGCGTAAAGCCTTAATTTTACACTGGCCATCTGAAAAATCTTACTTTTGATTTCACTTTCGACGTGCTATTCATTCCTATTGGTCGTCTCGTGCCGTATTTATTTGTGGATTTTAACGATCCGACAGGCTTGAAAAAATCCGACTTAAACCTCGTGCAGATTCTAACGCAAGAAGAAGGAGGACAACAAGTAGGCGGACAAAATAATAATGAATTATCCAGAAAACCATTAAGTTTCTTTTATTATCTTAATCTAATGACAGGTGCTTGGTGGTAGTTATATGATAGATGCAAATTGCAAAAGTACATAATATTTAAGCAAGTAAGTATAAAAACTATGCGTAAACAGCTGACGTATCACATTGACACAGGCACAGACTGACACAGGCACAACCGACACAAACTGACCCAAACTGACATACCTAGACTGATACAGGCACAGACTGACACACACACCACAGGCAGACACATACTGACACAGACACAGCCGACACAAACTGACACAAACTGACACAGACTGAAATAGGCTGACACAAACACAACAGGCAGACACATACTGACACAGAAACAACAGACTGAAGCATATACATTATACACCAGTATAGCGCCTTTTGGGGCGACTAACGGAGCGAGCGAGAGGGTGAGCCTTGCACGTGCGAAATTTCGAGGGGGTACCTCCAGCTGACTTGTGCACGGCACCCTACTAACCGGTCTCTAGCGATGTGCCAAATTTGAGCACAATCGGCCCAGCCGTTCTCGAGATCTGGAAGCGGCACCCTGCACGTGCGCACGTGCAAAATGGGTCCCAACTGACTTTTGCACGGCAGCCTACTAACCGGTCCCTAACCATGTACCAAATTTGAGCGCCATCGGTCCAGCCGTTCTCGAGATCTGGAAACGACCCCTGCACGTGCGCACGTGCAGCAGCACCCCAACTCTGGCACATGGATATGCAGTGCCTAGTGGGTGCCTACCTACATGCCAACTTTCAGCGCAATCGGCCAAGTAGTTACCGAGATATTGCAACAATTACAAAAGTGACACCTCTTCGTTTTGCACGTGGCACGTGCATAAGGGGTCACCCACATGCATCGGGAATAGTCCAATACTTGGTAGAAGGAATGAAGCTACCCCACAAAAATTACCGCATGTAAATCGGTCAAGTGGTTGCTGAGATATAAGCCTAGCAAAAGCGTGACCACGGCCGGCCGGCCGGCCGGCCGGCCGGCCGCTCATACTCAGAAATTTCCGTTATTCTACGTAAGACTCCGCTCGCTTCGCTCGCTCCGTAATGACCAAATCAACCACTACACGACCAAAAGCTTGGCAAGTGTTTAATTCCCTAGGTTTAATGAGATTCGTATTTGTTCTCTATCAAAATGGGCTTAGAAATGGTTTAACCACTAAGAAAATACAGTTGCAAGTAAAAAAGGTTCCAAAGGGAATACTCCGATTTCTTGGGGAACGAAACTCGTCTAATTAGCTTATACGCACAGTGCGTGCTCATTAAAATGGTAAAGATAGCCTACGTCGAACTATGATATTGAAACTTAACATTTCAACGTAATATGATTTTACAGCATTAGAAGTACCACTCTCTCTCTAGTTAATAACTTAGTTGCGATAATCGATCCGCGGAGTCCTTAATAATGATGAGCCTTATTGAATTACTCGCAATTACAGAAATAAAGGAGGACGCTCAACTGATATCAAATGGAAGTGTGTGAAAGTACTCGTAGCATAGACGCAGCAGCCGGAGGGGGGGGGGGGGGGCGGCAGTGGGGGGGGGGGGGGGGGGCCGTGGGGGCGCTACTCCCAGAACTTTTTACATGGCCAGGAACCGTCAGGGCAGCTTGTCCTCCCTAAAATAGCGGTTGTGGGTCACAAAGGAAAACTGAATGGAAGAAAACATTGTAGCAAAAAAAAAAAAATCCCGCTCTTTACCTGGCATGACACTATGTGCAAGATTTAAGCCTTTATTCCAGGTTACCAAAAAAGATAGTTCCTTGACTCAGCTAAGACGGAATATCTCACTTTTTAGCATTTTTTCGTTTCGTTCTTTCCGTTGAAAAGGCCATGGGGGAAAATAAGTGGCCTAAAACCGGTGAGAAAGCTAGATTTAGGGGTAACCTAGGTTCCGGGAGGTATCAGGTGTGTCCCCCCCCCCCCCAGCCTGAAAGTAGTTCCCGCGCCACTGGAAAGCAGTCTTTTGATGGTAGTCATTTAAATGATTTACGTTGAAATGAAGCAGTGCATTATCCAATATTGATATTCCTTTGTTTCAAGTTGTGAATGTTGGCGAAAAAGCATTTCAAATGCAGTTCGCAGCATTATGAACTGAATATGTGATTCTATGTACATTAAATTCAGTGACGGAATATGGAGGGTGACGTATTATCACTTAGGCCCATCAGAACAGAGATTGCCTCAGAATACGCCTTGTCATTAACCTTCATTCCTAATGTCCACTGATCTAAAAAGGGTGAAGCCACCAGTCGGTTAACTTTGTCCCATTTCAAGCGACAATTCTCTTATTCCTCACAGTCTTAGGCTAAAACCATGGGTGCAAAACCGGATCAAGGGGCTGCTAAATTATTTCTCCTGCGGTTCCTTACCTGGGCTGGAGCGTTTCCCTGCACCTCCTAGACACAGCAGATCGAGCATATCCGCCAGATCTTTTCCACAATAGTGCACTGGGTTCCTCTTCTCGAACGATACCATACGCTCGTGCAGGTCCAGGCGGCTGGTGCGGACACATGTGACGGCCAGGAGGAGCATCAGAAGGACGAAACGTCCCGCCAACATCTGAAAATGAGGGACAACGTGAATGAATGATGGACGAAGTAAGGGACGAAATAGTACCTACAAACAATGACCTAACTTTACTGACAGACTACAGTTTAATTATAGCAATAATGATGATATAATATTGTTGATTATGGTTTAATGAACAATAATGATAACATTTATAACACAGGACGACGCTTGAAAAGAAAATTACAGCGTTATTTGTCTGCAAAGCAGTTTTGAGAGCAATGTTAAAAAGCGTCAGTCTAATGTGTGAGTAGTCCAGCATGAAGTTGCCAGAACTACTAAACAATGCTATGGAATATAGGAAATAAAACGAACATCTTTTGGCTTTATTTTCATTTGTTTGTCGCCCATGGAGTTGACACAGAAAACAGTAGTTATATCTACATCGATGTTTTTAATGATTGGAAAAGTAGAAAGACACATGTAATTGCAAGAAGACAAGTCCCTAAGCTTACTTAAGTACGAAATGCATAGCCTTTCCTCTCTCTCACCATTTTACAGGCGACACTTGCTGGACGGAGCCTGTTTCCAGTTGACCAACGGAGAGCAGAAGACGGCTGCCTGGACACCTGGGCCGCCTTTTATGGAGCTGAGAGCTGAGAGCTGAGCTGCCACGCGGACCGGCCGCGCAGGCGCCGCTCCCATCTCGAGTCGTTGGTAACATCTCCTGCTGGTGGGGTCTTCGTGGTACCCGGCCGAACGTTCACAGAAATATCGCCGTCTATTAGTGAGCATGCATGAATTCATTTGTTAGAGACGTGAAAATGTAGAATAGTGCACCTAAACAAAACGGCGAGCATTGTAAAATAGACATGATTTCCTCATATAACATCACCAGATTTCCTGAAATGTAATTCAACTGAAAGCTGAAAAGCACAACAGGTTTAGCAATGATAATATGATTATGAAAAATTATCGCAGCCCTGCCCAGCGGTGCTGTAATTTGACGATGACTGTTCAGATCGTCATGGAATGAGGATCTCAGAGTGGTATGAAGTGTTGAAATGAGAAATTATTTAAATACAGGATGTTCTTCTGCATCTCTCTCTCTCTCTCTCTCTCTCTCTCTCTCTCTCTCTCTCTCTCTCTCTCTCTCTCTCTCTCTCTCTCTCTCTCTCTCTCTCTCTCTCTCTCTCTTTCTCTTCCTCTTTCTCTCTCTTTCTCTCTCTCTTTCTCTCTCTCTCTCTCTCTCTCTCTCTCTCTCTCTCTCTCTCTCTCTCTCTCTCTCTCTCTCTCTCTCTCTCTCTCCTATGTGAAAGATCTGAAGAAAAATTAATCTGAAGAAAACTTTGAAAGAAAAACATTGCACTGTTCTGACCTTAAGGTCACCTATGAAATAAGCTAACTGATGACATTTTTATTGGCGTTGCCTTCTGCTGTCATGAATTTCTATTTTCTGTTTCTCAAAATGCTGTTGAGCAAACAGATAAAAGATCCGATTCTGTATCCGTGATCAACCAAGGATGTTCTTCGGTTATTTAGGTTTGCTGACCGAAATAAACTCAACTCAGTCCGTGGGCGTTGGAACTGACAATCCGCCCCGCGTCGGACGCCTGCGCTGCCGGCCCGTGGCAGATCAGCTCTCAGCTCTCAGCTCCATATAAGGCGGCCCAGGTGTCCACACAGCCGTCTTCTGCTTGCAGCTGGCCTACAGGAAGCAGCTCCCTCACATCGAGGAAGGATAAAGCTACAATGGTAGGAACCAACATATGTTTGATGCAAATGTATAATGTTTCTTGTTAGCTCTGCACTGCTCTTATTTTCACGTCGAGGTCGATAAATAAAAACCTATTGCTGCTAGTAAAAGACTTAATACACACTTTGCGATGACTTTTTCAGGGAGATAAGTGTGGTCCATTGTTACGTTGCTCTTCATCAATATTTTATTTTCCCTTTCAAGACATGTCTAGCACGGCGCCTTTCTACGTCCACAGGCACAGCTGCGACACGTCCTCTTCATGGTGCTGCTCGGAGCCGTTTCCACGGACATTGCATCGGGCTCCAGCAGCTGGAAGCGGCCCGTCGACAAGCGTGGTCCTGCGATGCACTTCTGCGGTCCCTCGCTGGCTGACGCCCTGGAAATGGTGTGCGAGTCCGGAATGGGAAAACGATCCGGAACCGGTAAGTTTATGCTTCTTATTTAATGACATCAGGCTATCATAAGGCTCTGCAGGATGTGTTCACGTGAATGATTTTTCAGTTTTCCGATCCGCTCAATGATTTGTTGTCTGTCCCCACAGCGCCTCGCCAGAATCTGCTGAGGCCGGAATTTTCTGGCGGACATCTCTCCATCTCGTCTGCTTCCACCATGCCCTACTACCAGACGCAGCTCTACCACTCTGCAGACTCCAGGACGAAGAGGAGTCCCGGCATTGTGGAGGAATGCTGCCTGAATCCGTGCACTCTGAGCACACTAGCGCAGTACTGCTGGTAAAGGTCCTGAAATGATGTCAAGGTTTTGTCCTATGCTCAGATACGAAGAAAACATAACTCATGAACGGAAAATCCTTCACTTATTTGATGGTGTAAGTGTGATTAGTTTTTGTGAAGCTATTATCCCATATGATCTTAATTTAACCATTTAAATATATTGCACACATATTTCTAGTTGAGGCATTGCATTGTGATTTGTTTCGTCAGCAGACACACTACGTCAAGCTACAGTAGGTACATAATGGCACTAGCTTGCAATTTAGTAACTGTATCCCATCTAAGACCCTTGAGCCAAAACTGCCACCCTGAGCCAAAGTTGAAGGCAGTTTGACAAAAGTGTCAATAGATGTGAGCACCAACTATTCATAATGCTCGCTAAGGTTGAACATTCATCACTTATATAGACAAAAGTAGGCAAAATGCATACATTTCACACTCATTAATGATACTGTCTAAATCTAACGCTAACTGCAACCCTCTAACCTCAAGATCCTGGATCTAAGCCTGTGATAGCTACCTATGTGATGATTGATTGGGAAACCCTGTGTAAAATGCACATGACCATTGTAACACTGTCCCATGTTGGTGTTCTATTGTTGTGATATTAGCTGAAATATACGCTTGAGAAAAACTAGTCTCTATCGAATGATGAAATGATGAAATGCCTACTTGTTAAACCGCGCCCCGTAGGTCTATCGGTGGACCCTACCACCCGTAGGGGGGGGGGCGTTTGTCCCCCCCCCCATGATCTCGGAAATTTGCCGGCCGATTTTCAAAATTCAAAACGGCGTTCGATAGCCCCACCGGGGAACTACCTTGTGACCAAATTTCATTGAGCTGTGAAATCGAGTAAATTGGTAAATTATTGAAAATCATCGATGGTAAATTGTTCGTCAAACACATATTTTGCTATCTGAGGTCACTGATACCAGGTCAGGTCACAGAGGTCAGGTCACTGGGGGTCACAATATGAAAGTGTCGTGTGACACACGTTTTATGGTCCATTTTACATGACAAATGCGATTGTTTGGGCCAGGCAGCCTTTGGGGCCAGCTTAGGTTACGTTCTGGTGAAGGTCAGGTCAAGGTCAGGTGAAATTAGGGCAAAGCTCAAAATTGATATTTTTGCAAAAAATGGGTCTCGATTTGACGCAGTTCGTCACGGGGAGTCAAATGGTGGTCTTTGTTTTGCCCTACGTGGTCTACAATTGCTAAACGTTGAGTTTGAAAAATTGACGTCATCATTTTTAAAGTTTTTTTTCGCTATAACTTGGCAAAAAAAATATATATCCATCTGAAATTTGTTTTGTAAATAGAAAATGGTAGGTGCTATCATATGTACCTATTCCGGTTTTTCGAAACTCAAAAACCGTTTTGGATTATTTGGCTAATGCATCCAAAAATAACTTTTTTGATTTTTAGGGTCCAAATTCAAAATTTTCAAAATCAGAGATAGCAGTTTTTTAGCCCTGTCAATTCTACACCTTGTATGTCTTGATCAGATCATTTTTCTGTATCTTCAAAGCTGTAGGCCTGACAGCTCTTCTCGCGAAACTCTTTTTTTCGGGCGAAAATGGCAGAACGTGACGCCATTCTGACGTTATTTGTGGCCACCCTATCATAGCCTTTGGAAAAAAAAGAGTTGGTCACAATGTGTAAAATTGATGCCCGAAGTGGCCCTGAAAGTTTGGTGGCGATATCTGCAGCCGTTTAGGAGATATCGACGGAAAAGGACAGGGGGGCGTTTCGAACCCCCCCCCTCTACGGGGCGTGGGTTAAGCTAGGAACGGGTGGTGGTACTCTTATATCATGCTGAACGACGCCGGTGTAAATAAATTTCAAGACCGAGGTCCTTACACGATTTTTGGACGTGGCCGAAGTCCGAGCGCAAAAATCCGTAAGGTCATGAAAATTTATCACCGGTTGAGTTTGGTATGCATTTTATTGTATGCCTGGTCTATTCAAATACATTAGCCGGAGACGTGTGCTATATATTGGGGTAAACAAAGTGACCACGGTCAAAATGTTACACCAATTTGCAACTAGAGATGTCAATCGGATACCAACTTTTTGTTATACCGATACCAAACCAATACCAACTCGGTATTTGGTATTTCAATCCTAATGTGTTTGGTATTTTGTTGGTATCATGAACCCTTGCTAATGTTTAAGAGGCTAAGAAATCGGTAAAAATTTGGTATTTTCCTCATGTTCCCAAGTTGGTTTGGTTTCGGTATTTCTCCACGGTTTTGGTTGGTATTTGGTTTGGTATCGGTATTCCGATTTTCCGTAATTGACATCACTATTTGCAACCATCCAACATTTTGGGATGGCCTCGCTTAAAAGTCGGCTGAGCTTCGGTCTACAAAGTCTAACGTTGGCATACAGTAAAATACATAGGTACCAAACTCAGTCGGTGATAAGTTTTCAAAACAACTCTAGTCCTTACTGGTTTTTCACCTCGGCCCTCGGCCTGGTTCAAAAATCCGGTCAATCAAATCAAAACTCCACAGTCCACTTTGTCTTGATTATTAGGTAAAGATAACAATGGTG